TGAAAAATCCACCAAAAACGTTCTTGTTGGAAAGTTATGCTCAGGAGAGATGTGAATAAGTCAGGGCAGTGAAGACATAAAATTATAAATATCTAGTAAAGTTCTTTGAAAATTTAGTGGGAAAAAATATTACCTTGAGAAACAAAGCTGTGGAGGAGCTTTAAAATACCTTTTGTGTTGTTATTTTATGTTTCATCTTTAAATCTGATGAAAATGTATGTTCTATTCATGGTATAGGAGTTGTTGATCACATAAGAAAAAGTTGCTAAATTAATGACAAGTGACTTTGATTTGACTTTTCATTAGATGTATTTATTTGCGCAAAGGATAAGTCCTGGTTTTGTTTACAAAAACCCAGTAAGTATGCTTCTAATTCGCTAAATGATATTCTCCCAAAGCAGTGTCTTTGTCCACATTGGAGAAATTACTTTGAGGGTTTCCTATGTAACTAACACAATCAAAATCAAGATAAGATCGCAGGGGTGACAAGATGGCTCAGAAGCTGAGAGCGTGTTCTTGCAAAGCACCTAAGTTTGGCTCAACATAAACATTTAGCAGCTTACAACTACCCATAATGCTAGATGAAGGAGAAGCCAGTGCTTCTAATCTCCAAGAACAACTGAACTCACAAGACAGCCCTCCACACACACAATTTAAAATAAAACCTTAGAGAAAAACAACAGAAATCAATGAGAAAGATAATTTAAAAAAAATGTATTAAAAAGTTACCTGAAACGCTGTAGAGTGAGTGTGTTAGAGAGAGGAGTTGGGAAAAGGAAGTCATCATTGTCATGGTAACAGGAATTTATCCCACCTAATTGTTCTCCACAGCAAGTTGCTTGACCATTTTTCTGTTGTGTGACATCCTTACACAAGTAACTTTTACAAATTATGTAGACCTGCCAGGCCTGGAACTCCCTACTTAGACCAGGCTGGCCCCCAACACAGACCTCAACTTGCATGAACTTCACTAGTTCTGGGAAGTACTACCCAACTCCCAACCCACCGCATCTCCCCACCCCTGGCTTAGAAAACAAAGTCACATTTCATTCTACTTCAACCCAGCTGATGGAGATGTTTAGGTGACGTACCGTGCTTTAATCTTGCAAACCACTCCCTTTTTCACTCACTGTGCATTTCTAGTTTGTGGGCTGAGCTGAAGTAGCATTTATAATTTGACAGCATCAGCATAAATCTTTGTAGCACAGAATGAAATTTGTGACCAACCAGTTCTAGTTCAGACGTTACTAGAGAGGGGGCTAGTCAGAAGTGATGACTATTAGATGTCTTTTTCACCCAAATGTCCCAGGATATATGTAAGGCTGCTGTAGCTCTGCCTCCATATAGTTGATCTACCAGGTACTACGTGCTTGGTCTACCCTAAAAGGAAGAAGGAGGGGAGCCCTGTAGCACCTTCGATAAAGACATCTTGCTTTCAAGTGAATTTGTACATGAAAAGTCATTAAGGAACACTTTCGCTCTCCATGGAATCATGAGCTATACATGCCCTTTTCATTTTCCCAACCTTTGTTAGTTGATATTCCAAGTAAGGAGACCTTTTGGATGTGCTTTTATTCATTGGGGGCCTTGGAGTTATTTTGAGATGTGAAAATCCTTAACCTTTAGTGTTGTATTGATAAAGGGTTTCACCATTGCTATTGGGTTACAACATGTGCTCTTAGGATTAAACTGAACCATCTCTGGGCCATTGGACCCAAGTGAGTTGGCCCCCAACAGTGAATAGTCAAAACTATAGCTTTAGGCCAAGAACATGGCGATTGACAACAAATTACTGCTTGTGGCCCACTTCCAGTTTCCAAGTGCAAACATACCGAAGTTTATTTTAAATTTGAGCCAGCCAGACATTTAGTAATACACATCAAAGAAGGAGTGAAGGCTTCCCCTGTTTATTATTTCAACATGATGTCTGTCCCAATAAAGCATGCACACGATAGATCACGCAAGAGAAGTTCTTTAGTCCCGTGGTTTGCCCTTAAATACGAACATATACTTGTAAATTAATCTGAAACACATTGTCACGTTCCATTCCCTCCGAAAGCTGATTGTTCTCAATCGACCTTTTAATTTTAGGAGTCCAGTGGCCGGCTGCCAGGACACTTACAGATCGGCGGGCCACCCCATGAATTAAAAAGGGCATGGATCCTGAGTGCTCAAAACCCACAGAATGGCATTCAAAGAACTTAAAACTTATTCCCTATTAATTAAAAAACAAAGCCATCTGTGCAAGGTGAATTTGGTAAGGTACCAATGTTTCTAATGATTCCGGTGGAATTTGAACATGCTTATGAAATAAGGAAAGTACAGCAAGGGATTCCCAAGATAAAATGCACTGTTTATAACATTCCGTACAAAACTTGACTATGGTTCTAATACAACGCTAGAAAGCATTCTTGCTCTTTAATCAGAATTTAGTGTCAAACTTGAAGGAACTGGCTCTCTAGTAACTACTATGATCTGGTGACGTCTACTGCCTTCCCTTTCCTAGACTACTTTTCTCCATCCATTCTCTCTCTCTCATGCACACACACACACACACACCCCACACTTGTCAGAACTTTTTTGGGAAAATGCAGAAAACAAGAAAACACACACACACATGGCAGAAGTCGGGGCGGGGGGAGACAAAGGCAGACACACACACACACAGATGCTGAAAAAAGAAAAACATACCGAGGCAAATATTACCAGCCTCTTTCTATACATCTGGGGGAATGCCTCTTTATTTCCATTTTGATTTTTGCAGTTTGCACAATTTCTCCCCCTGGGCTGACAACCTATAAACTTAGGCTCTCAAAAATCATAGAGTGGCAGAAACTCAAAGGGCAACCACTGCCTTGAATTTGATCAGGAACTATCTTAACAAGAAGGTTTTTTGTTTTTTGTTTTTTTAATTGTCATCTGCTCATCAACCAGTGTTTTCAGTCAATTAAAATTTGTACTCTAGGCCTCTTCCAGTTTGAAGGCACCTCTGCGCCTTCGATGAACAGTCCTTGTTTGTGAGTCATTCATTTTCTCCATTACCAAGAGGAGAATAGAGGACAATTACATTGTTTGGACGAATCGGAGTGTTAGAAGGAGTATTTGTCATGGAGGCAGAGTGCAGTACCTGACAGGCAGCGATTGATGGCCAGGAATGAGTGTGAGTGGCCGAAGCAGCCTCACAGGATGCAGATTACTGACTGTGGATTCCAATTTACCCTGTTCATTTTTCTTGCCTCGGCTGAAGACCATTAGTGGTTTTTGAAGCAGTGAAGGGGTCATTACTAATGTGGGGAAGCTCTAGCAGGAGGGGGAAGGAGGGGCAGAGCCTTCTGTAATTACACAGCTTTAAGGAACAGGCTGCGGGCCCTAGCCAAAAAAGTGTCAACACCTCGCAATCAGAAAAATTTATTTTCATTTTATGCTTAACCCATAATAACTCAACATTATCATCTTTCTTTGTTAACATTTGCAGAATATTAAAAGCCTGCCTTCTATATTAATACAGATCTGGTTAACCCTTTTGATATGCAGGGGATTTTGTTGAACCTATGACATGAGGGTTCTTGAATAAACAATCACGCACAGTTCAGATAATGTAGGCTATTATGAAAGATGAGCTACCTGAGAACTGAGTTCTTTGATGATGGAAAAACATCCCCCTTCAAATGCTGGAATGATCAGAATAATGTAAAGATTTATGTGTATTACTCTTAATTGAGTGTATAAATGTGAGTGTTTTTTGGGGTGTGTGCATGAGAGTACAGGTGCCATCACAACCCAGAGACTCCAGATACCATGGATCTGGAGTTACAGGTAGCTCTGAGCTTCCCACCATGAATTCTGGGAACTGATATGAGTCTTCTGCAGAAGAAGTAGGAAGCTCTTTTGCACTGAGCCACCTCTCTAGCCCCCTCATGACTCTTCAGTAATTCTGGTGGGCAATAGTTATGACTCAAGGCTATCTATGAACAACTCTGGCACGGGGATAAAAGTTTACCTTTCCGCTTAAGAAAACCAGTGAATTTTGAACAGGACCTTATGTAACAGATGCGTTTCATAATTACGTGCCCTCCAGCCCAGAACTTCTTGAAGGAGATGTATGATTATAAAATAACAGCCCTGGGTTTCAAGATGAGAGAGGAAAAGAGAGAGGAGGATAATGGGAGCGCTGTTCATTATCAATGTGAGTGAACTGAAATGGTGAAGAAAAGAATTAAAAACGGAAAACCTATGGCTTTGTTCTCTTGTTGCGGTACTTGAAGTTAACATGGAAAAATTCCATAGGAACCAGGGCACAAAACTGATTCCTTCTTCCCTGGAGTATGAAATGTATGTCTGGTGTAGGGGACAGGTTGCCTGGGCAAGTCATTGTACCTGACCTCAACAGCCTAGAGCCACTCAGTAAAAGTTAAAGAATCCTAGCCCTACCCTGACTAAGAACTCTGTATCCAATCCTTTACTTTAACTTTCAAAATAGTTGTGAATATATATATATATATATATATATATATATATATATATATATATATATATTAGCCAAGGGTCCAAATTTCACTATGATTAACCTCATATTTACTAAGAAATAATAGTTAAGCAAACCAGTGTGTCAAACGTAACATAGATAAGAATTCCATAGAAACCCAGTAGGAAGAAAAGGAAGTGGGTTCTGCAAGTTTTCTCCTTAAAACAGACAGGAATGGAGACACCTAGAATTCTGATGCCATTCCAGGATATTTTTCACTCCCAACTTATCAAAAACACTGAGTGACCTAGGAACCTGGACTTGCATTGCTAGTCCTACGGAGTGTGACAAGAAGTTGGGTTTGCCCTCACTGGCTCCTGTCCACACCTGTCAGCAAGTTAAATATGTTTTTAAATGTGATGAGGAGAATCAAGCTGTGGAGTAAAGAAAGCACCCAGGGTGGTTTCACCCTTAGAAGTATATGCCTCTTCCGCAACTTCTGATACATCTTCTAAAATGTTTGTCTTTTCATCAGCACCCGTACCCTTCCGAAGAGCAGAAGAAACAGTTAGCACAGGACACGGGACTGACAATTCTGCAAGTAAACAACTGGTGAGTGACCCCAAGATCTTACTCCCTTGACTAAAGTGGGGTTCCTAAGTAATTGTTGTTGTCGTTGTTTTCTATCTTTCTTTCTTGGTTTTGTTCCTGGAACAAAGGAAATCAAGGGTAACTTCTGCATTTCTTCCCTGAGGTTGTGAAATTTATCCCTACGGTAAAGGACAGATAGCCTAGGCAAGTGGGGTTTGTACCATTTCTTTTTTCCCTTTACGCCACTTTCTTTCTTTCTCCTCTCCCCTAACCTCACTTTTATCAGCTCTTATGCTTTAAAATTCTCCAGCTGAATCACAAATTCTGCCTGGCTCATTCCTGTCGAATAGTGTTGCCTGTGTGTTTTTTGCACAATGCTCACATAAAAGCCACTATTTCTGGGAAAGGTTTCTTTTGTCTAGACTCTTGGGAACAATGTAGACACAGGGTTTTTAGTATCTCCTCAAAGGTATTTATTTAGCCTAATTTTTTAAAGTAGAAAATAAGGTGTTTTTTTTTCCATTTTTAGCTCGTGATTTATTTTACTTGAATGGTGGTACGTGGGCCATCTACCCTTTGTACATGGCTTAGAGGGTAACTGAGGAAAAAGGAGGGGGAAGGGATTAAATAAAATGATCACAGTGGCCAAGAAATGATATAGGAATTACTTATCAAAATACTGGCCCAGGTTTTATCAGCAGCTTAATTTTGTTCTGTACATTCTTGGGGTGATGTTCAGATTAATTGAACTGACAGTTCTCTTTCAAAATTCAGGGGAAGTATTTGCACGGATTTCAGGCCTTATACAAACTTAATTACATGGAACTCCACTTTATCATTCTAATTCCATGTAGCAGAGGTTGTATTTACAAATGAGAAGTCTCTGGCTTTATTCACAGCTTTCCTTAATATATTTATCAAAGCAGGTTCATTTACAAAGTGCTCTATCTGTGGGACACAGGCAGGCAGACATTAACAAAGCTTTTAGGTTTATCAGGCTCGCTGCCTGATGAGCTACCCGAGGGTCAATTGATTTTGTGGTTCTGTGATTCATTTTTTTCTCATTTTTCTAGGATCACAATGAGAGACATGCTTGGAGAATTAGCCAGTTTGTCTGCCTTATCTGTCAGGCAATTTTTTTTTTTCCCAGGGAAGTCAAGCTACTTAAATTGGCCACAGGAACTGTCGTTATCTGACTTTAATGCACCCTATAGTGTGGATAGCATTTCAATTACACCAGTAACCAAAGCTTAGCTGCAGCCCTTTTCATGCCTACTGTTGTACAGAAAGTGATGTGCCTACCTACAGAAGCAGAAAATTGAGTTGCCTTGCTTCTGTCAGGGTGATTAATGCAGAAATAAACTGCTAACCTGAAAAGAGAGGCAGAAAGAAAGAATAGACAATACAGACCGGATTCCTCTTTAATTTTCTTCTAAAGATTGGAACTATGTACATTTAAAGACACCCTTTATAGCAAAATCTTGAGGATAGAGGTGATAATCTCCAGGACGAGATGTGTCTGGGGCCGTTTGATGTAAGTATCTAATATGTGTAAAGGTATACATTCTCATTCATGTTCCCAGTTCAAGCAATCAGTGATGTGAAACAATAAAACAAACACATTCCGGTTAAGTTTAGGAGACTCGGTCCCACTTACTGTTTTATAACACGCTGATTTTCAGTGTAAGCCACTGCGTATTTCAGCGGTGCCTGGTACAATTAACATCGCTTTGGAAAATCAGTTTTTGTAAATTTGGGGCACATGCGGGGAAGTTGTGATGGGAGTTGTTGAGAGAAATGGAATGTTTCTACGCTGATATTTGGCATCGACATTTGACCTTTCTTTGAAAACACTGTCACACATCCTCCGTTCCCAGCGTTTTTTGATGTAGTCATTGCCCTTGAAGAGCAAAGACGGACTATCTAAAGACCAGCCTTCCTCACGACACCTGGCTGGAACCTGGAAGAAAGGACCCTTCTTTTCTGAGTTCCACAGAGCCCCCGAGGCATGTGCAGGGGTTCAGTTGGTGTGATATTTTGGGTTTCGTGTTTCTCTGTGATTTGGGCCACATTTGCCGAGGGTGAGGACATGACAGTCTGTCGTGCCGTAATATGGGATAAACGTTGACACCTCCGTCTCTACAAAATAATTCCATCGTTCTAATTTTCACACTTCCTTCTGAAAAATTCTGTAATCCTGCCCTCAGGTCCAATTCTTAGCTAATAGCTACCATAACTTTGATAATAAGGTGTGACTCAAAAGGATGGCTCCGCAAGTACCCCTGAAACGCTGCCAAGAGTTGAAGAAAGGGGCGCCCTACCTGGCATTTCAGAAAGAAATCTGAAAAGAAACACCCCCATGTTGGCACGTTTTGAACTTGTCCAACGCCTTGACAGAGTCACCTCCAAAGCAGCGCTGTCTAAAGTCTTTCAGGAGGCTTCAGAATTACAGACCTCAGGTGCGGGACAGTGAGAGGAGCGGACTATAAATGAGTCTTCTATGTTACTCATAGAAAAAGAAGATCAAAAGTATTTCCCGGAGCTAGAGAGATGGCTCAGTGATTAAGGCCACTTGCTGCTCTTCCAGAGGACCCAAGTTTGATTCCCAGCACCTGAGTTAAATGGCTTACAACCATCTCTATCTCCATCTCCAGGGGCTCTGATGCCCTCTTCCAGCTTTTATCCGCAGCACACATGCACACACACAAACACACACACACACACACACACACGATGCACGCATGCACACGCGCACGCATGTACACACGCAGTATATAAACACATGGGCACACACAAAATTAATTTTAAAAAAGTTTGAGGAACAAATACTTTCTAAGCTTTAATCCCCCAACCCAGACTTGCCTGAGTCCAGTCTTGTGGCATCATAAAAGCTACACTTGGGGACTTTGAGTTTTCTAGGAAGCCCACAGCTCAGACAGACCTCCTGTTCTGTCCTGTTCTGCCCCTTGCTTTTAAAAACAGAAAGATCATCATGTTTAAGCAGTACTGTAAAATAACATCTACAGTAAAAAGCAGCAGATACCTAGATTAGGCTGCACATACCTAATGAGGACAATAAGCAGTCAGAACAAGCCAGTTAAGACCATCGGTCACTAGGAACCACGAACAAATAAGCAAAATGGAAGTTTGAGAGATAACTGAGAGAATCAAAGATGTGTTGGATCTTTGCAACCCATGTTAGAAACGACGATAGAGAACTTTCCTGAAGTAGGGAGTGGGGAAAACGTGACAACACAGCCAAACCAAAGTGTGGTTTCCAGAAGGATCAGCATCTGTGACACTGAGGTCATTTTCTCTACATCTATCTCTCAGAAGTCTATGAATAATAAACCACTCAAGTAAGATTTTGTTTTCTTTTTCAAGATGATGTTATCAATGAGGTACTCTGGGATGGTGTCTCACACCTGTATTCCTAGAACTTGAGAGACTGGGACAGGAGGGTTACACTGAGTTCAACACTAGGCTGGGCTATGTAGTGAGATCCAAGTCATTTCGGACCACAGTGTTAAGCCTTGCCTCAAAAAGCCAACAGCAAGACCAGGCCCGGTGAAGCATGACTTTCATAATGGAAAACAACTATATATAAAAATAGAGAGAAAAATTATTTTGTACAATGACACAAATATTTTTCTTTTATCAAATAGCCTATTACTGGAGTGGAGAGCTCTTCCAAAAAGAAGTGTACATACTTTTAGGGAAATTTTCATGATGCAGACAACTTCCTATGGCGCAGTTTCTCTGTTTAAACAAAGGTAGATGTCTGTGGTTTCTTGCATGATCATTTTTGTAGTTCTTTGTTGCCAGAAAGGGAAGATGAGGGAGCCTTAGGAGGTAAGAGCTTATAAATAACTGCCAAGCTTAGAGAATGCAGAGGAAAATCTGAGGTATCAATACTTTTCTCAGGAGGCATGCTTACACTGATTTGAAAAAATATATATTTTTTCTAATGAGAAAGTTCTTCCTTCAGTAACTTTTTGGGTTTCAGTTGTGTGTCTTTGACAATAGTAATCATTGAAAAAATGGCAAAGCCTTAGGTTGACTAAATTCCAGCTAAGGACAGGGAGACGGTGTTTCAGCCAGTCAAATGTTATGCAAGCAAAAGGACCCAAGTTCCAACCCCAGAACCCACGCAAACCTGGCAGCACTAGTTTCCATTTGAGAGCCTGTTGTCTAACGTGAGATGCAAGCACAGACAAGAAAATCCACAAAGACTCAGGGGCTGCCTAGCTTAGCTTACACAGCAGACAACGAAGAAACCTTGTCACAAACAAGGTGGAAGTCAAGGATTAGCTTCCAAGTTGTTGACCTCCACAGATCTACTATGCTATGTGCATACACACACACACACACACACACAAAAACACTCAGGCACACATCACACACACACACACACACACACACCAGAGAAAGCAAATGTAAAATTCAGCTAAATCACAACACACTCATGTGTTCTCATGCAACATAACACCAGAATTATGTTGTAGTTACCTAAAATTCCTTACTGCTGTTTCTTTATTTTGAAAGAATCTTGCTCGCCCAGAATTCTCTTATGTTATCCAGGTTGGCCTTGAACTCTCAATTCTCACCTATCCACCTGAGTTTGGGATTACAGGCATAAACAATTGCTCTTTAGTATCATTGTTCTTTTGAGACAGGGTCTCAGCTTGCAGGCTTGCCTTATCTGGAATTTACCTTATCCGTCAGGCTGGCCTTGAATTTACACAGACCTGCTTCTGACTCCAGAGTTCTGGGATTAAAGGCAAGAGCCACAGCAGCTGGCTCCAGATTAATTTTTAAAGGAAAAAATATATGTTACTCTTAAAAGTTCATGTGACGATAGTAATTATAACCAACTCTGAAACAACATACAGTGCCAGTGGGGGTGAGCTATTAACCCGAAGGCAGGTAAAATAGGATATACTTCTTCCTAGAAGGCAGGGTCTAAGCCCTCAAATGAAAAAGCATGAATCTTAACTCAAGGAGCCTTTCAGGTGAAGGGG